TYMAAAWAACATTAGCACATCGGTACTCAAAATAATACGACAAAGCTTAAGTTAATTGTTGGATTTATTTATACACTTAATCGTATAGAAATCCTCTTATTTTCCATTAAAMTTTCTTTTCAAGTGTTTATTATATAATGAACGATAAAGCGAGCCAAGAGAGGATTATCTATGAAGTCATGACAGCATGCTTGCTTGTACGGATATTGAAGTTAAAATCAACTTGGAGATTTCTAGAAGGTTTTAATARCATTTTCGGCTCTAAAATATCACCAGTTAGAATAAGAGAATATGTAAAAAAGGGTGTAATTTCCGCAAAAACAAATTGATGATTATGATGATAGAAAAGCATGAGTGCATGAAAAAATAGATAAATAAACAAAACAAAACAAAACAAAAAAACACACGCACAAACACAATAGAACAAAACCACAAAGCAAAAATATATTTAAAACAAAAACAAAAACAAAAAAATAGAAAGAAAGAAAGAGAATGTTTGCATGATCTGTTTATAAAGTTTCTTGTTTGCAATTCAAAGTGTAAATGAAAAAAAATATATATAAATAAAATGTAAATTTATCGTGATCAAGTTTTGCAAGAAAATCACTAATACCTTTGGAGCTTCTTGCATATTTCCCCTGTGAAGATAGTTGATAAAGAAATGCATTGGCTAGCTGATTCTCGGGATATTATTGGTCGCCAAAAGTCATATAATATATGGGATACATTAGTAAATCTATTCCACTAAAAAAAAATCCACAAAATTTAAAAACTAGTATCACTTACGTAATATGGTAAAAAAAAAAGAAAATGAGCGTAACACATTTAATACATAGCGAAATAAAAGCAACTGATAAGCAATTAATTTTTTTTCAAGACATTTGTTTTATGATTTTGGTTAAACTAGAATGTCTAAGAAAGGAGCAAAATTAAAAAAAAAATTAAATATGATAGAAAATAAGAAAAAAATATATTGCTGAGACCTTATAACGCCTTAGAAAATAACTTTATTATTGTACTTTCACGTTATTTGTCCTTCACTCACATGTTAATTTAGTTTTAAAAAAGTAAGGGACTCAATTTTATCAAGTGAATATGTGAAAATTAAAAATATTACGAATTTCAAGTGAGATGATTGAAAACCTTCGCCATTTTAAGGTCACCACAATGCATTTCGGGTTTACGATAGGCCTTCAATTCTCCATGGACAACATTAACAGAAAAAAAATATATAAATATATATATATTACACATGTTTACCGATCAAAATTCATGGAATGGAATAAGTGGTCCTTAATATAAATTTAGTTTATCCTTTAAGTACTTTGATGGGTCTTATAAAGCATATTATTAAAGTAAAAAAAAAATGCAGTTGAAAGGAGACCGCTGATGTGTTGTTCAATGTCATTTCATGAGCCGACAACACGCATTAATTTAAAATGGTCTTTGAAATCTCGGAAAACAAGAAAATAAGATGTAAATCAATAACATACAAGTATTAAATTAGCTTTATTCGATGGCTAGATTCTATTGATTACAACAAAAATTAAATAAGTTGCTTTTCTAATCCGGCATTGAATGAAATTTGAGATATTGGCTCCGATTTTTTTTTTCTTTTTTAGTCTTTAGTAAATTTAAGTAGCAAGTATTTATATATATTACTTTACTTTTAGACTGTTTTTGCTGTTTTTGTATGTTGTTTGTTTTGTTTTGTTTTTGTGTTTTGTTTTAATTTTGTTTTCCTGTTTGGTTGTATCGTTTGTTATTCTATTTTGTAGAAAATGCAAGCGGAATTAAATGGAAGCATGCTTATACCATGGAGACTTCCAAACAAATTTCCAATTCTTTAGTAAGAGTAGACGAAATTTTGAAATYTAAAATTGTTCATATACAAAGCTGTGTGGGGTCTTTCAGTATGGTCAATAAAACAAAAGGGACCGATGGCAAAGATTCCCTTTACGTCTCCTTCAAGCTATATCTTAATTTGAAATATAAACAATTTAAAATGTACAGTTATTGGAGTTTTTCTGATCCCAGTGTTTACCTCAGACAAACATAAAAGATTCAAACACTCGCTGATCTAGCTGTAGAAATAGAGTTTATTGAAATACAACTTGGAATATGTGTATAATACGTTCGTGACCCATACCATATCGTGATTTCATTATCATATAAAAATGWTGATTGAAACCCAGGCACGATGTTGTTTATCTTCATACTAGCACGCACTTTTAGGCAAACGTTACTTATTTTAGACGCCCGAATAGCTTAAAGTAGGATTAAATCTAATCCGCAGAGAAGTCATATCAAATTGACAGCCGTGGTAGGCTATTCATTATGTACACCCTAAGGCGCTTTAAGTGTCTGGGTCGGTATTATTTCAATCCAGTTCCAGGTAGATGAGTTATGATTGGTTTCCCATGACGTCATRTCATTTATCAAATTAATGGCCTCTTCTGGAATTGTTATATAAAGGATTGATGTACAATTCCACCCTTTTTATCTTTTCAGTTGTGTACAAGCGACTTGAAGTTTGGGCAACCTTTGGTCTGACTCGCTGAAGAAGTCGACATGAACAACAACAGCAACACCTCCATGCACGCTTATTGTGCGTCTTCAAGTTGTCTCTTTTCCACTGCCAGTCAATATATAATTATTTCTATTCTATTTCTTCTCTTCATCGCGTCCTTGGTCGGCAATGTCCTTATCTTGGTGCTTTTGTACAAAGATCGCCAGCTCAGGGCACGTTCCAGTCCTTCACACATAAGYTTGGCCATTGCCGATCTTCTCGCAACGATWTTCTGGCTACCATTTCTTGTGTCAGATCTTTACATTGCGGAAAAGTGGGTATTTGGATATGCATCTTGCAAAGTTGTCTCATTTTTTCAGACGATTGCAATTCCATCGTCGACACTCAATCTGTGCATTGTGACGTCTGAATGCTTTGCTGCAGTTTGGTTTCCGATCTTCTTGAAAGTTCTCCCAAGAAAGAGAACGATATTGATAACCTCATGTGCKGTGGTGTGGTTTGTGGCCTTTGTGGGCAGTCTCTTTTAYGTCCCATTCAAGAATATAAAAACCTACGACGGCGTTGATTACTGCGTGGAAACATTTCCAGATGAAACAACGAAGAATATCTATATCTATACCAATTCAAGCCTATTTGGGTTTGGACCATTGATTGTCATAACTGTGCTTAACATCCTCTGCATATACAGACTTTGTCAAACTAACAGTCTGGTATCAAGCAGACGACACTCACTAAGCGGTACCTATACACGATCTGCAATAAAGAAAATTATTACAATTTCGCTGATATTTGTCATATGCCGAGGTCCTCTTCATATTCTCGAGCTCGCCATGATGTCGGACGATGTSCAATATCACCTGGCGTACAAGAGACCAAAAGTCAGCATTAGCCTTTTTACTTCATGTATWGGATTATACTTTTTCAGYGCGGCTACKCATCCGGTATTRTTTGGTCTTATGTCTGTATACTACAGGGAGGCATTYATCAGGAATTGTCCTTGTTAYACCATTCCAAGGCGAMGAAGAACAAGCTCCACWAAAACAGCTCAAACATCAAAGGTTCTGGAAACGATGCTTTGACAGCGCTGGCGAAAGAAGCGTTGGATTTTTCACTACATGGGGCGTTAATGAAAAAAATTTGCTTTCTAATAATCCCCCAAGAAAGATGATTGAAAGATTAAAAAAAATAATTTTCATTGCAAGGTAGTTCAAGATGTGTTATGCTCCGAACTAATGAAAGTTACATTATATTAAAGAACCGATTTACGACCTAATAAGAATAATCCACAAGATTGAGTGTTAAACAAAAACTCCAAAACTAACCTTACTGGACGAATACTGACACAGTTTAATTATCTCAAAGACGATTGACTCTAGAGTCAAACAAGAACATTTCCTTTCATTTGAGTCAAGTTTTCTCTGGACTCCTCAGACATAATACTTACTTAATTAATAATTACTCATATTCAATTGGCGCGCGCGGCTATGCGAAGATATAAGAATATATCTCCGAGTGTTAAACTATCAAAAAAAGAAAAAAATACTGGCATTTCATGTATAATAATATGATATATACCATCGTATGAACTGTAACAGTCTCAAGAAATGTTATTGACTCCGTAAATAATTTCCAAAMATTTAAAAATATTTTARRMAGCATCATATAAGAGGAAATGCRCTTGTCTAAYGACGCTCAAGCTAGAAAGTCACCGCTGTTTATTAATAATTCAGTTGAAAAATATATGTTGAGACTAATACAAATTGATTGTGTCAACATRGAATTTTTCAATTAAATATTTAGGTTCTCAGAAAAAAAAAATTAGGAGAGATACACAAGATCAAAGTTTTCTTTCAAAACTGAAGCTTTGAGAATTATATTAAGGGTAATGGAAATGTTTTAGATTAAGTTAAAAGGCTTTTTTATGTTTTGAATTACAAACTAATTACAGCCGAAACCATTTCTTCACAAAAAAGGATAGAGTGCACGTCACAGGCATAAACAAAGACACGTTTCCTTTCTGACATTGTGTTCATGCCCCAGTGAATTATTAGTTAGCTGATAACTAAATCTTATTAGGCGCTAATTAGTTAAGAATTGTTTCATGCTTATGTGACGTGCACTCTATCAGGCAGTTTGACGCACTTATCATCCATTCGTTGCATATATCTAATTATCTTGATTGTTGATCAAACTGTTAATTAAATTGATAATTGTTTTTAAATCGTAGATGATAAAGCTTATGAGACAGAATGCTTATTGTTTTTTGCCCATAAACACAAAGATTAATATAGCACCTGCCACTCYATAGGGCAAAAATCTTCGCATGAAAGCCATCACACGAAATAGCAAGTTTTATCCTCCAGGAATGATTTTTACATAAGCCTTGAAATCAAGAAATTCGTATGCGCATAAATGATTGCAAAAACGTTGTCACAGAAAAAAATAACAAACTAAAATAACTCAGGCTGGGCACCTTATTTTGCTTCTTCAATGAACCTTTAATTACTAATTAAAAATAGTATATTTCTCAATGCCAACTTATCTTTGCAATCAGATACAACTGAAATCTTCACACATTGCTTSAAAAGAACGCCTTGTGACTTCCAAGTTTTCTATTGGATAAGTGAACTTCGATTTAACGCTTGATTGTCGCGTGCGACTTGTAGTATACGATCAAGAAAGCTTAAAATTGCTCCTTATAAATGCCCCTAAGACTTGCCCACAACAGTCGTACGCAACCTACGACTTGAATTAAGATTTTTAACCATTGGCTTAAAATCCTTCGACTTGTCGTAGGAAAATCGTATGTCGCATGCGATAATCGGACCGTGTAAGTCGGACCTTAAGTAACGGGCGCATAGTGCACTTAAATGCACAAATAAATATACTCTCTCTATATATATCTTAAGCTATGATTTGAATAAGATTAAGCAAGAAATAAAAGATAAAATTCTCCAAAATCGTTGCTAGTTGTTTCATAACTATACGATCGTATAAACATTTATCATTACGGGAAATTGTTAATTTGAGAGCGATGATGATTACTGCAGTAAAGTTTTATAGTGCCTATGACGCCTGACAAAACTTTGAAGGAGTCGCTTAAAAACGCTATCATGGCATTAAATTTATCGTATGCAATGTAGGGAATAGCCATATTCCCAGATTGCGTCCATGAAAACATTTTTTGAGCAACTGTTTTAAAGTTCGTATATCTAATGAAGCCTCCCATGATGTCATTTTCATTAGCATATTGGAAAATTAAACCTTTAAAACTCAAAGACGCAACACTGAAATGAAGAAAAATYAGACTATTCAATTATTTATTTTATATAGAATCAGCTCACCGAGAATCAGAATTATTTTTTTTGTCATGCGTCATAGGCACTTTAAGGTGCATGTTGAACCGACATCCTTTACGAGCTTTAATTTTACTTATATTTGAAAATAAAAACATGCATACTGGGCATATATCGAGGACAAACAATCTATAACGAATATTTTCAATATATGGAAACAAGCAAAGTATCCTATTGCTGAATAAAAGTCTTTTGCGCTATAATAATATTTTATATTTTAGAGAAAACCGTCAAAGTCCGATCTGAATATTTGATTTCCATATACGGCTGCTAAATGAGCAGTAACTGATTTTATTGCACTTCATTGATATGATTGGCATAAAACGAGTCCCTTTTTCACTTAAATACACAACTCCCTGTGAATCTGAGCACCCTGTCGAGTAAAGGGTGCTAGAATTCGACTGTAACAATCTATCAGAGCAACTCATAATGACTATAGCACCAAAGAGGTCATTTGTACATAAGTACGATAGGGGCAAAATACTCCTGTGGTGGTCCCCAAAGGGACTCAAAAACGATAGTCGCTACGCATTTTGCCTGTGGTTATCTCTGTAAGCAGTTTTTACACCGACACACGACTATCTCGCGCCGACACGAGCAAACAACAGCAACAGTAGCAAGAATGGGAACAACAACACCACCACCAACAACAACAACAACAACAATAGGAGCAGCAACAACAACAATAGGAGCAGCAACAACAACAATAGGAGCAGCAACAACAACAATAGGAGCAGCAACAATATCAACAACAGTAGCAACAACAAAAAACAACAACGACAATAACAGCAACAACAACAACAACAACATCAACAGTAGCAAGAAAAGGAACAACAACAACAACGACAATAACAGCAACAACAACAACATCATCAACAGTAGCAACAAAAAACAACAACAACAACAACACTAACAGCAACAACAACATCAACATCAACAGTAGCAAGAAAAGGAACAACAACAGCAACAACAGCAGCAGTATCAGCAATAACGACGACGACGACAACAGCAACAGTAAAAATGACGCATATCGTTGTATCACAACTTACGGCTCAAGCTATTTAACACGCTTTCAAAATCCTTCGTGTGATTTCTTAAAGGGACACTGTCAATGGCACGCATGCGCGAGTAAACTTGAAAACACTAGGCTAGTGTTGTTTATGACTCCAAGTTGGCGTGACATAAATCAGCTCGTAAACGTAAACAGATCTAGAATATTCCAAAGTGTGTCAAAAGCACCACAAAATGATTTACCTCTAAGGTAATACTTTCAAAGTCCGTTAGAGGTGAGACTGTTACCGCGCAGTCATCCATTGTTGACAGTGTCCCTTTAATCAGAATATGACAAAACAATCTCTCCAGGGAACATATTTACGTTACTTTTGAGTGTGCCTTTTAATGGCAAAAAAAAAGAAAAGAAAAAAGAAATATGTCATATTTGTATTCGGCTTAACCAAAAGGCCGACGTTTATTGATTTGATGAAATAGTGTAGAAAGCGCCCCTCCAGGAATCCCTTTTTGCTCTAAAAATAACACACAAAAGAGAAAAATCATCGCATTTGTGTCAAACCGATGATTACAGGTTTCAGTTAAGTGCCTAATCACCTAATGGGGTTATTTCCAAGCCATTATCTTCTCACTAATGTGATCGGTACAGATCTCTGATGCATTGAAGCTGGCATCACGATACAACATTTATATCACGATATATCATACAACAAGGATGTCGGAAAATTTTCCCAAACAGCTAGTTTTTTTTTAGGGCGTGTGTATTTTTTTACCAGATCAGATAACCATCAATAAATATAAGAATTATAGCATATAGATAAAAGAAAAAGAAGTTTTTGTCTGTTTGATG